AGGGCTCAGGGTTGAGGGTTTAGGATTATTGTTGCTGGGCTTTGGGGTTTCCATCGGCCTCCCTCATTCAAACTCCGGAACATTCAGGTTTTGGGGTTTGGGCTCTTGTTGTTTGGCTTTGGTGTTCTTGAAAGGGTTTCTGGGGTCTTAGCAGGCTGTTCTCACTTGCTTTTAGGTGTCGCGCTGCTTTTGGGAGTTCGGGTGGCTTGGGCAAGGAACTGATGCAGGATCTGATTTTGGGGTCCAAACCTTTGCAGCTCTTCTTAAGGGATGGGGTGGTGGTGTTGCGGTTTAGGTCTTAAGGTTTAGATTAGCGCAAAGGGTTACCCCAAAGCCTGAGCCCTTGAACGCATACACCGGAAGTATTAGACCCAACCGAACACAAACCCTGGAATTTCTGAAAGCCCTTACCCTAACCGCTTCAGTGCATTTTCAAAGAAGACTATGCTCATGCTGTAAGTAACGTCCAGTCACTCCTGACGGGTTAAGGCTGAGGGGTAGGGCAAAGGGGGTTCGTCTATCCTTGCCACTCGGCATCTTCCCGGCGGACGGAAAGCTGCTCTGTTTGGGCTTCAGAGGGTTTAGGGTTTAGGGTTTAGGGTTTCTCTTAAGCTACAGCCCCCAAGAACCCAAAACCCCAACTCCGAAAGCAAAACGAGGCCGATGAACACGCGGCCTCTGCATTGTGGAGTACCCAATAAGGAATAAAGACGGCACCGCCTCTTGGAGTTTAAGGATTATCCGACGATTATCCATTCATAATTGTATACTACCCTCAGAGAAAGGAAAGTTATAGAGCACCGCACTCTAGGAGCCACTACAGCTCAACTCCCTGACCCCAAACCCTGCATCGGAAAGCCCAAACTCAAGCGGAAACCCCAAAACCCGAACCCTAAACCCTAAACCCCAAACCCTAAAAACTAAACCCTAAACCTTAGACCGTGAGAAAAGTGCCTTCAGAACAGCAGGATCATCCGTGCCCGTCACCCGTTGCAGGAGCGAGCTGGCAAAACCACTGAGCATGGCCTCGGGTGCTTGGGAGGTTTGAGGGAGTGTAAAGTTTAGGGTTTAGGGTTTAGGGGTTTAGGGTTTATGGTTTAGGATTTTTGGCTTAGGGTTTAGTGTTTAGCGGGTATGCCAGGCCCATAATCAGCGTCACCCCAGGTATCACCGTGACCTTCCGCAATACCCCAAAGCCCACACTCTCCACGTATGGCACACTGGCCGGTTTAGGGTTTGGGGTTTAGGGTTTAGGGTGGCGTTCATCCTCACCACCATGACCACTGGACAAACACCATTCCTTATACGCCTTCTGAATCGACGGACAGCATACTTTACCCCAGACCCCTGTTCAAAAAAATGAAAGCCCCTATGTCAGTGCCTTCTCCTCTTCTGGTCATCCCTAAACCCTAGACCCTAATGTAGGGGCCATAGTAACTGGAACAGGGTTTTGGGGGGTTCCATATTATGAATATGGTATAACGTACCCCCAAACCCTATTCTAACTATTCAGGCCCCTATACTAAACCCATTGGGGGTCTTGGGTAAACTCTAAACCCTAAACCCTAAACCCTAAACCCTAAACCCTATTGTAACTATTAACGCCCCTATACTAAGCCCATTTGGGGGTCTTGGGCTCTATCGGGTCATCGGGTTATCGGGATCTGGGTCTTAGGGTTTCTGGCTTTCGGTGTTCGGTTCGGGGCTTCAGGAATTAAGCCTCGAAGCCCTAAACCCTCAACCCGGGTTTAGGGTTTAGGGTTTAAAACCCAAATGTTTATAGGTAGGGTTCAGGGTTTTAGAGCCTCTACACCCTAAACCCTCAAGCAACGAGAGCTGAGGGCAGGGCAGAGTGCCGCAGAGGCTATGCTGCAACTCGGGGCGCTGGAGACAGCTCAGCCCTAAATGGGGGTTTCCGAATATTAGGGGTAACTTATTTTGGGGTCCTTATAATAAGGATCCTATTATTTAGGGTACTATATTAGGGTCCCCTATTTTCGGAAACTCCCAAATGCTACTTAAAAGGGGAGGCGTTTGTACGAGCTGCCAAGTAAAGAAGGTTCCATGAAATTCCTCTGGTGGTTATAAGTTTCAAGGGTTTTTTCTTTGCAGCGGCACTCGCTAGCTAAACTGGTATCCTTGGAGCTAGACCCTAAACCCTAAACCCCAAACCCTTACATACCGAAGTGGAGGCTTTTGCTATGCTGGTGGGACTCCTGGAGAGGGCTTCGGGTTAGATTGAAAGGGTTCAGGGTTTGTTTAGGTTTCAGGGTTTAGGGTGTAATGTAGGGGCCTAAATACTTACCAAGACTATTTTGGGGAGTTCCTTATTATAACCACCGTAGAACGGGCCCCAAAACCCTATTCTACTTATTAAGGCCCCCATATTAGGGTTTGGGTTTAGGGTATTCGGAGAGGGTCTGGGCTGCGCAATTCGGGCTAAGCCTCTTTGACTCTGGTCCTCTTTGCAACAGCACGATGATCGTTACTACTACTAGTATTGCTGTTATTGCTACTGTTGTTATCATCGCATAGGATATGCATATTGATGTTATTATCATTGTTGTTGTTATCTTTATTATTCTTGATATTGCTATTTAAAGCAGCTGGTGCTGCCCCCTGAAGACGGCAGCGGCGGGATGCACATGCGGTCGTTCTGCGAGCATGCATGCAACATGACGACCACGTCCCCGGCGACGACAACGGTAACAAGAAAGGCAGGGTTTAGGGTTTAGGGTTTAGGGGCAGCACAAACTGCGGATCTGGCAATGGCATGGGATCCGGGGACGGGCAGAAGCTTCAATTCGGACGCCGATCTAGCTGAACTTCCACGCTGTCTGTCCTACAACCTTTGGCCGAACCCCCCAAACCGTGGGCTGTGTCCAGAACCCTAAACTAAACCCTAGACCCTAAACCCTAAACCCTAAACCCTAAACCTTAAACCCTAAACCCTAAACCCTAAACCCTACCTCTTAAACCCTAAACCCCAGACCCTAAACCCTAAACCCCACGCTCCTTTTGTCCGGTCTCGGACTCGGGACGCACCGAGTCTAGCTCAGGGAAGGCCGTTTGGTAGGGCCACGACTTCAAGGCTCGCCGGTACCCCTCCCTGAACATTTAGGGTTTAGGGTTTAGGGTTTCGAGTCTAGGGTTTAGGGCTTAGGGCTTAGGGTTTAGAACCTTCGGCGGTGAAACCCAGAAAAACCTCATAAAAGCCCTGCCAGACACTCCAAAGACCCCTAAACCCTAAACCCTACACCATATCTAAGCCTGAACCCACAATCCTTACACACCTACTATATACCCTATATATTTACTCTTAAAGGGTCCCTAGAAAAGCCATATTAGGGCCCATACTTCCAATCTTACACCCTAAACCCTAAACCCGAAACCCTAAACCCCTAAACCTTAAACCCTCAACCCTAAACCCTAAACCTCCAAACCCGAAACCCTATACCCTAAACCCCTAAACCCTAAACCCCCAAACCCTAAACCCTAAATCCTAGAACCTGAACCCACGTCCGACGAGCCCAAAAAGGGAGCCCCTAGGCCTCAGCCTGAAACGAGCGGGCGCTACTTTGCTAAGCTGGGTTCTTGATACCTCGGATGTAGGGTTTAGGGTTTAGGGTTTAGGGTTTGGGGTCGATACCTCGGATGTAGGGTTTAGGGTTTAGGGGTTGAGGGATTAGGGGTTTAGGGCTCAGGGGTTTTGGGTTTAGGGTTTAGGGGTTTAGGGAGTTTAGGGTTTAGGGTTTATGGGCTTAGGGAGTGTAGGGGTTTGAGTTTAGGGTTCTTGAGAGCTCGGCGACAAAGCAAACATGCTTATAAGGGTTGGCGTGAATCTAGATTCTTCAAAAGGAACATACCATGAAGGTGCATTTAGTGAATGACATGTGCCTGTTTTCACACGAACACATGACAGTTCAGCTCCGTGACAACAGCTCCTGAAAAACATCACATAAACTCTGGTAAAACTCTCGTTATCTCTTTATACAAGAACCCAGCAACCGGTCTTTGGCAGAGCAGGGGCTGGATTCCGATAGAAGGTTTCGGGCTCCAAGGCTCAGGGTTGAGGGCCAAGTTGAGGGTTTCGGGGATACTTGGACGTTCATGGGTAGATATCCGTAGGGTTATCCTAAACCCTAAACCCTAAACCCTAAACCCCCTAAACTCTAAACCCTAAACCCTAAACCCCGTAGGGTTATAAGTAGGGTAGCTATACTGAGAACGCAGAAGAAGGGACTTATAACCCTATAGGCTTCATAGAGAAGAGTCGAGGCTCTAGGCTAAAGGGGATAGAAGGCCCCTCTAGTAAGAGTTTAAGGGTTTAGGGCTTAGGCTAGGGTTTAGGGTTTAGGTCTCTCCAGCCACGAGGCTCTTGGAAATCACACAGAGCCTCCCACCTCGCACAGCGCCGGTGGCGCTGTGTGTTCTGCAGCGCCGCCTTCTTCCGATGGCGGGCCGATTCACTGAAACCTGAGAGGGGTTAGGGTTTAGGGTTTAGGATTTAGGGTTTCGGGTTTAAGGTTTAGGGTTTAGGGTTTAGAGTCTAGGGTTTAATGTAGGGGCCTTAATAATTAGAATAGGGTTCCGAGGTATGTTAGACTATAATTTTATACCAACAAGGAGCCCCCAAAATAGTAGAGGGTAATGCTTAAGGCCCGAAATAGTAGTGCAGTTAGGGTTGGTGAGTCAGGGCTGAGGGTCTAGACTGAGAGTTTAAGGTCAAGCGCTCAACAATCGCCATGTTAAGGGTTGCCCTTGAAGGGTTTTTAGGGTTAAGGGGTTTAGGG